CGATTCTTTAATGATTAAAAACATCAAAATTACCTTCCTTTTTTTGATATGTATAAAATTGAATTCATATTCTCCGATTCTACATATTAATTATATTGAACTAATGTAAATATCGAATTTTAAATTAAAAAATAAAGAAATGCATAGATTCTTATTTACTTAATTTGGAAAGTTGATTATTTAATCTTTATATAAACTGTATAGCTCCCCCACCACCTCTTTATTTGGTGCAATTTTAGTATCACAATAAACTAATTTGGTTCTTTAATTGAGGACAAATTTAGAATATTAGTGGATAACAGAATATTAGTTAGGTATTGACTTATAATATATAATTTAATGAAACTAGATCTATTATTAAACTAAAAGACAAAATCTCACATATATATCTTGATTTGAGATTTAAATATTGTTAGTATAGATCCTTTGAGATCTTATAAAAGTTTTAGAATATGACAACTTACTAATATCAATTATTTTAATCCTCACTTCTTTGCTAATAGGGCTCATACATCCTTAATTCGAATATAAGTCTCGAAGAAATGATAAAATTATTTTACGTAATTTATCAATTATAAGATTAAATTAAATGGTTCGAACGATTATTAATAATTTATATTAAAAATAGCTTGTTTGATATCATGACCTTTAAAGTGTTCGTACTATATCAAAAATGATTACTAGCGATAATTAATTTTTAATTGTTATTAAATATGTATTTTTAACAGCAATTAGCATTCTTTGTATATGTTACTAAAGTCTTTAGCGACGTTAGTTTCAATGACACTTAACTAATACAGTAAAGACTTTAGCACTCTTTATAAATGTCAATATTTATTACCGTTAAAAATTATTTTTATTAAAGTATCGTAACCCTTCAGCCTTCCCTGAATTTTATTAACGCGAGATATTTTGTGTATCAACTTTTTTTTTAAGTCTAATATATTAATCACCTCATGAGAATGTTCTTTCGAAATTGGCTAATTAGCTTGTTTTGGTGCAAGATCCTACTACTATAAATCTTGAAAATGAATATTTTATAGGAATAAAATATGATGTGCTCCAATAATTATATGCAGACTCCATTAAACAGACAAAAGATAGAGGTGTCTTGTCAAAGAGTTATAATTTATTATGTATTTATGATATAAAAATATTTTTATATTATTAAATCACTTATAAAATAATTATAGACAGATCTATAATTATTAAACAATCAAAAAGAAAAAATTACACTATTAGTTCACCAAATTATCTTTTTAAAAAAAATAAAACTCCTACTTCTTTCTTTAATTTTTATTTACCGATCCTAATTTTCTTTAGAAGGATATCTTTAAATTTACAATATTTTATACGGAAAAATAATAAATACCTATTAAGAATATTTTTGAATTTGATAAGTTCAACAAGTTATATCAAATCTTACATGTGAAGAAGATCAAGCATAAGATAAGTCATGTCACATGTGTTAATTTGAGCAATAAAATACATAAATAATTTTCATAATGTGAGATATACTTTTTTACAAATTGTGTATAAATATAGTGTGAGGCTACAACATTTATATATATATATGTTGAATCACCTCATGACTACAAAAATGTTTCACAATTCAATGACATGAAGACAATTTGTGCAAAGAGGTGGGGATGGGAAAGAATGGAGTTGCTTTTCTCCAGAGACACTAGATTTTTCTACTCATTATGTATTCGAAGTTCATGCCGGAGTCATAGGTGAAGTCAGAATTTTTAATAAAAGAGTTCTAAATATGCAGAAATAGACGCATAAAGTAGCCGAAGAGAGTTCGATATCTACTATGTATACATATAAAGTTATTTTAACCATGTATAAATCATATACTCTTCCGCAGAAGGGGGTTCGGATGAACCCCCTTCGTTCAAGGTGGCTCTGCCCCTGACTGGAGTATCGATTAGATCTAAATTACATAATGCAGGATTCATTTTGAGGTGACGTTCTCAATTGGATTTTCTCTATACTCAAGATTCAAACTCGAGATCTTTAGTTAAGAAAGGAACAATCCTATCACTATACCACAATACACGTTGATGACTTTAGATTATTCCTCTTCTAAAGAAATATTTTTAATATTTATTTTTATTGATATCTCATTTGTTATGCGTTCTATCCTGATTAATCTAGAGACACATTGAAAAATTTCACATAAAAATTAAAATATTTCCTAACAAAGATGATTATTCACCATTCAAATTTTGAAATCACTAATTAAGAGTGCAAAAGAATTTACCAAGAACGGAGATATCTCTACTAGCTAGCCCAGTATGGTAATTTCGTTGTATACTTCTGTCTACTAACCCGTTTAAGGAATACGTTCGATCTAATTCTTTTGTATTATCGTAGTTATATATATATATACACTTTTTTAAATAAAAAAGGTCAAATTATGTTAGCTTTTTTATGACATGAAAAATTGAGGTAAATATTGTTTCATAATAAAAAATAATTACTTACCACGATATCACAATCTCGACGGTTTAAAACATTTTAACTTTTTAACCTCCGGCTATCTGGCTTAGCTGTCTACAAATATAGCTCCCGTAAATTACGGGAGTAACGTGTTGTACTGTGCTGACACGTACTCTTTGTGGTCCCCACACAACTTGTCTAATCTCCCACGTGTCAGCTTGTACTGCTTGTCGGCTCGTTTTTTAAAAATACCCAAATCAACGGCTTCACCTTTGGCATGATGAAACGTGGACTAATACAGACCGTTCGATCTTCATGATCCTTTTGTCCGTACAATTACATAGCAATTTTTTTTTCTATCTTTGGCTTTATCGTATGTTTGCTATATAAGGGGTACTAATAATTATAACACTTTATTTTAATTTTTTTATAATAATATTTTTGGTATTTTGAGGTGGGAATTTTAATTATTTTGTATAAATGAAGAACATTGTTTGGTGTGGGGAAAATGTGGTCCACACCACTTCAAAAGTTGTTCCTCGCTTATTTCTATAAATAATTTTTTTTAAAAAAAGTTAGAAGTTTAATTTTAGGGTAACTTTCACATATAACAAACATAAAATTTATATTTGTATGTTATAGCAAAGTTTGCATAGTTGTGTTACGTAGCAAACTTATATATGTATAATTCGCTATACATATACAATTAAAGTGAATTGTACAAAATGAGAAAGAGATAAATTATATATAATTTGAATCGTATAAAATGAAAAAGTAAAAAAAGATAGAATTGAGTTGTATAAAACGAGAAAGAGAGAAATTATATACGATTTAAATTTGTATAAAACGAGAAAGAGAAAAAAGCAAAAAGAGACTTGTGCAGGGAATATACAATTGAATCGAATTGTATATAAAACGAGAAAAAGAAATATTATATACAATGTGAACGAGAAAGACAAAAGAGACTTGGGCAGAGAAATATTTGTATTGTATAATTATAAGTGTATAGGATGAAGCTATATATATTTGCATGCGTTTATATAATTTTCTCTTGCTTTATACAATTCGAAACACAATTTATACAATTCTATTGTATAAAGCGAGAGAGGCGAGCGACAGAAATAAGCGAGCGAGAGCGGGAGAGTGGCGAGCGAGAATATGAGGGAGAGAGGGATTGACAAACAGTTTGCTATGGAACACAAATAAATCAAAGAGTAGCTACTATATTTATTTTACATTATTAGTTTATCATTCTATACAATTATTATTAATCAAAGAGTAGCTACTATATTTATTTTACATTATTAGTTTATCATTCTATACAATTATTATTAATCAAAGAGTAGCTACTAGTAATATAACTTTAGTTTATTATTATTATTATATATTATTTTTTGCAAGTAATGTTATACATCATTCTAGAAATTAATGAATTTCATTTTTCACGTATTTATCTTGTGTTTAAAGCTAGTTTTGACAAAGTATAACTCGAGACACCATAACTGAAATTTCGTATATTGAATTTCAGGTAAATGTGGCTGGAAATAAGTCGTTTTTGCCATACTTAAGCTAGTTTTTCTTCAACTTCGTTCGTATATGACTAAAGTTCAAGCATTTTCTCCGACTTCCATCTTTTGATTCAAACTACACTGTATCCTATATTTGGGCAGCTACATGGAGGCCCAAATACTACTATTAACTAATTCGGCCTACTTCTCGATATACATTGGAGGCCTATAAATATGGGCCTATAGCCCACTCTCAACTATATTGTATCCTATATTCTATCTATAAAAGAAAAATTGTATGTGATAATAAACTATAAATTCAAATTAAATATTGTAAATATAGTTTGATTTAATTATACCCTATAGTAAATTATTACTATTTTCACCTCTCTCCTTGGTGGAATCTCGTTTACCACTCTCGTTTTGGTGGCAATCTCGCTCTTCTTTCTCGTTTTAATACAAACACAAGTGTGTAAAATGTGTTTGTGTTTGTATAAAGCGAGAGAAAATTGTGTATATACAGATCTCTTCGTTCCGCTCTCTTTTATCTCTCAGACCTCGCTTGCCACATTCGCTTCTCTCACTTATACAAACTGAAAATGAAATATATAAATTGTGTTTCTGTTTATATAAATCGAGAAAAAAATTGTATATACACATGCAAATACATATATCTTCGTCTTATACACTTATAATTATACAATACGAATATTTCTTTATATATTTTTTTTGCCTTTCTCTCTTTCTCGTTTTGTACATACACAGATTTGTACAATTAATTTTTTTGTATACAACTGCTTTCTTTCGTATATGTATAGCAAATTATACCACTATTTTCTATGTAGATGTATAACGAATTATACAACTGATTTTCGTATGTGTATAGTGAGATATACATATTTATCTTTACTATAAGCACAATTATGCAAACTACAATTATAACTTACGGATATAATTTTTATATTTGTTATACGTGAAAGTTAATTTTTTTTTATTCTCATTTTTGGTTTCTTCTAGATTTTATGGAAAGAATATTTCTAGAACACTCCACATTCTCCTCAATGGTTCTTTTTCAGTAATTTATAATGAATGTAATGAACTCGTTTTACTATCGCTGCAAAATCAATCCAAACAAGCCCTTAAATTCACCGATCGGAAAATTTCCTTTCTCATTTCCGTCCACCGGTAATTACTATGTCGACGGTGACTTCGTCGCAGTACAATTACTTGGACGGCACATACTTTCCGACGCCGTTACATCTCCAACAACAACCGTCGCAACCGTACTCTGCTCCTCCCGTTGTTCCTCCTGTCTATTCTGCTCCGGCAGCTGTTCCCGACGTTTACTCTTTACCTCAGTATTTACAGGTAATATATCAATTTTCAGCTATTTTTATTTTTGGTAGAACTGATTCTTATATAACAAATTCGATCTGTTGTTTGTAGATTAATAATTACATTGATTTTACTCTTGATGAACTGACCTGGACTGAGATAGGGAGGAAAAAAACAGAATTAAATTTTCAGATAGCATTGTTTACTCACATGTAATGTAAAAATCTTAATATTATGAGCATAATAATACGTAAATAGACACTCAAAATTGGCGTCAACGGAAACTCAACACTCCAAACTTTGAGTATGCGCATCTAGACACCCGAAGTAGAACGCGTCTCCATTGTGTCGGTTGAACACTCCAATTTACTAAATGATTATTTAGACATTTTCAAAAATTTTATGTCACATTAGCATTGGGCGTATACGAGAGAAAGGGGGAACAAGTTCGACTATTTAGTTGTCTGGTGAGGCCAAGTTGAGGTGTCTAGACTGGTACTCTTAAAGTTCGAGTGGTTACTTTATGTATAATGCCAATGTTATTTCTTCTGTAATTGATAGTACTTTATTAAGATATGTTGGTTTGGTATGTTCATACCATCATATGTGTACACATGAATGTATGCGTACTGTGTAATTATATGATCAAAATGATCTGCTTAGTTCCCCATTAGCAAGCCAACGGGAAAAGAATATTCTTCATTGAAGTATTTGAAGTAGACCCCTGTACATCTTTATCCATATGTTTTTTCAAAGCTTGCAATTTGTTCTTCTCGAAAAAAGATCTTCTTGGCAATGTGTCTAACGTGCCTGATTCTAATGGACAGACACAGCAATTATTTGAAAGAGTTGCACAGACAATCACGCCCGAAGCAATTGAGAATGTGAAAGCTGCACTTGCGAGCAGTGAGCTTGAGCAAAAAGCTGGCGTGAAAAAGAAAGCTGTGCCTCGAAAGGCAGCAGGACAGACTTGGGAAGATCCTACTCTTGCAGAGTGGCCAGAGAGTAAGCTCGCTTGCTCTGATAAATTCTTTCTTCCAATTCAAATTTGTGTCAAATGGTTAAATTTTGTGTTTACCCAATTAATAGACTTGATTTTGTTTAGTGTAGTTGTTCCAATTTGGTTTCCTCGAGTTCTGGATAGTTTTAGACATGAATTGAGTTAAGCAGTACCTTCTTATGAAGGGTTATGGCAGTGCTTATAAGAATACCAAAGCTGTGATGTTCTGGATAACCGTGTAATTGTAGATCTGGAGTTTGGGGAAGCACTAAACCAATAAATTACCATGCAGTTGAAGTCTGGAAATTTAAGGAAAAACAGTTATGAATGGTGAATGTCACCTTACACCTATCTGATCATTTAGGGAAATAGAAATAAATATGTTTGGAAGGGAGATGCATGACCAACGATCATAGTTCACGCGACTTGAAAGAACTGAGTATTGATAAATATTTTATCATATACCGGGTGGATGCTCTCTATATTTTCCAAAGGTCTTCGGTAGAGAGGAGGGAAGTCTTTTCTTTTGAGGCCAATGCTGCAGTGTAAGTAGCATATAGTTTGAAGCAAATACTATAATGATGATTGTTTGACTTCCCCATATGACTTCTTTAGCACTTGATCTTGTGCTCTGTTTGCTCGATTGTTGGCTTTTGTTTTAAGATGGTTGTAGTTGACTCAATTCTATTAGTTGGCTGACTAAGTTGAGGATTGGGGTCATGCAGATGATTTTCGGCTATTCTGTGGTAACCTTGGGAATGAGGTGAATGATGATGTTTTGTCAAAAGCATTTTCGAGATTTCCTTCCTTCAACATGGCTAGGGTAAGTTCTTCTAGAATCGTTTCATCTCTTCCAATAGTGATACTTTTAATTGTCATACATGGACTTGTGTCAGTTACATGTCGTTTGATCCGAGGGTCTATCAGAAACTACCTCTCTGCCCCACACAAAAATAGGGTAAGGTCTACATACATCCTACCCTCACTTGTGTGACTACATTGGGCATGTTATCGTTACGAACTGACAACTTCTGATGATGATCATGAAGGGCTGGAGGTCTTCATGTCTGTAATTTTTCTTCCTATTATCGTTTTTGTCCATATCTCAAGACATTCATGAATATGGGCTCTTGGATGGAACCAAACTTGTACTCCTCACCTCAGCATGTGTATGTAGCGCTCTTCTCTTTTTCTGTTTGTTGCGTAGACTGCATATGTTGGCAGTTTCCATGCACATGTTAGCACATAACTGAAGAATGTTGCTTAGTACATTCATCGTTCTTGTAATGTCCTTAAGGGTTTCTAACAATGTAACAATGACAGGTTGTGAGAGAAAAGCGGACTGGTAAGACCAAGGGATATGGATTTGTTAGTTTTTCCAACCCTTCAGACCTTGTCGTGGCACTTAAAGAAATGAATGGTAAGTGGTCTTTCGATGTTTACAAGGCATAGTCTCTACTTTGCTTCTGCTACATTAATATAATCGATGTCTTAAATGGCATAGCTTGATAAGAGGGACGATTAAAAATCTTTGAAGATCACCAGACCGGAATGGTATGGGATGATAACCAAATGGATCTGAAATTTTTCTTGTTTATTCTGTTTGTTGATGCCTTATGGGTCTCTTTCTATCCCTTGTTTGATGTCATAAGGTCAAAAGATTTGGCCAGACGGAAGAGTGTTATCTGCAAACCCCTCCCTCCCCCAATGCGAGAAGACTTGCTGGATGACACAGCATCACAACAACTAGGAGTGTGCTGTTGAAGTCGAATTAGATAAACGAAAACAAGGGGAACTTTCAGTTAAGAGTATTTGACCTTGAGCAGTGTGGTTTTCTTAGGCTTCTTTGAAAAATGGATGTATTTGTTGTTGTCATAGTTATTTAACCGGCAGTATACATCCCACTGAACTCGAATCCCTTAGTGACAAAGGTAAAATCTTTCTGATTTCAGGGAAGTATGTTGGGAACCGACCAGTTCAACTTCGGAAGAGTAAGTGGAAAGATAGGATTGACTATGAAGCTTTGGCAAGACAGAAGGTCAGTGTCTGTTCTCGCTAACGAAGCCCACATACGATTTGCGTTCCAAATTTTGGCTTGCACTGATGAGTTATTCTTGTTGAATGTTGTGGCAGAATGCGTCTCCAAAGAAAGCAAAGTCACCAAAGAAGAGCGTATTGCACAAGTGATCGCCAAACTTATCGAGTATCGCTTAGTAGTAGGGTGTAACGCCAGTCACTGAATATAGATGTACCATTCAGCCTATCAAATCTTCTATTATCAGTGCTTTTATGCATCAGCTGCTGATATCTTAGCTAAGAGATCTCCACCTTGTTATTTATAAGTCTTATTCACAAGTCTGTGTAATTAATGTATTAACATTGTTTAGTACAGTCAGGTTGTATCTAGTCAAAAGTGCATGCAGTTTTCTGTTTTATTGATCTTAACTTGAGGGGAATGCTTTCGACTTATTAGTGTCGAGTTAATAAAATGCTATGACAATTTATTTTAGTTAATCAAATGCAAATTGCAAGATCATTTATTATAGGCGGTATGACTCGAGAGATTCCTGTACTTGGTTTTTTGGTTTTATTTGTAAGGTATGCAAATTGCAGTTATGGATCATCACACACTTATCCAACTCAATTATTTTAACGACTTTTAAGTTCGTTCAATGCTCAGAGGGGTTTAAAAAATAGTGGTTCATTGAGTTTAAGTGTTATATTTGATAAAGTAGCAAGGGTCTAACTTATAAACGAAACTAAAGTACAAGAATCTCCTAGGTTATTGCGCCTTTATTATAGTTATTAAGCGACACAAATAACAAGATCAAAAATACAATGTTGACGGCTCAAAATAACAAGTGAAAAGTAGACCATTCCAATGATTGAGGGTAAGAATATATGAAATCTAATACCATGACAATTGAAATGAATCGTAATGACATTTGATGGTAAAAGTATATATGAAATCTAAAGCCAAAACAATTGAAATGAATCGTAATAAGTTATTGATATTAGTACCTAATTTACAATAATTCAAACTCCTTGAAGTCAATTTATTCACGAATCACACCTTTAAATTGAGATAATTATAAGTTTTTTACTTATGTTACATGTGCCTTAAGGTACACTAGAGAACATAAACATACCTTCATTTGAAAGAAGTGAAAAAGTTGATTGTGTCCTTGAGTGCATCGATGAATTTGTCAACGTCGTCTTTAGTATTGTAGAAATGAAGGCTAGCTCGTGCACTTGCATTGATTCCCAAATGTCGATGCAGAGGTTGAGCACAGTGGTGACCTGATCTAATCGCTACACCATGCTGCAGAAAACGTTGCTATTTAGAAATAACTCATTTACACGACATCCTAATTAATAGGATACGTGCTCAAGTGGACCATCTTACAAACACCCCCCCATTTTTGTAAGTGTAAAAAATTGTAGTTATGCAAGAGGTAGGATGGAGGTTTATTTCCCATACCTGTTGGTCAAGGAAGGTTGCGATATCAGTAGGGTGAATATCTTTAACATTGAAAGAACAAAGAGCAGCTCGCTTAACGGTTCGTGAAGGTGCAGGCCCATAAATTCGAACATCAGATACAGAAGAGAGGCGATCATACAAATAATTACCTAACTCCATCTGAGAAAGAACATGAAAATGAGGAGACGTATCACCAAAATCATTCATTATTGGAATTCATATTATACATTTTTATCTTGCATTAAAATTTCATCTCACCGACAATTTAAAATGAACTGAAATATAGTAAAGAATAATATATCTGGAATGTTGTTGTTGATTGACTAATTTCACCATATTCTACATGATTCTAAAGATGAGCACTAATCAACATTAAGAGTGTTTGGTACGAAGGAAAATGTTTTCCAATTTTCTCATGTTTGGTTGGGGTAAAAGTTTTGGAAAATGTTTTCCAAATCAACTCATTTTCCTCAAAATTAAGGAAAATGACTGCCCTTAAAAAATTAAGGAAAACATTTTCCAAAGGTCTCCTCCAATTTCAAAATAATTTTTTTTTGGAAAACATCAATTTTATCAATTTCAAAATTTTATTTTTTAACCCGATCCCTAACCACTTCCCCTCCCCCCCAACCACCCTCTCCAAAAAATTAATTTTGCTTTTTAAAAATAGGTTCAACTTTAAATTTTTATTTTTAAACTCCTACCTCCCCCTACTCCCCCCCTTACCAGCCCCCTCAACCCCCAACCCCGACCCCCCAAAAAATTATTTTTGCTTTTTAAAAATACTATCAATTTCAAATTTTTATTTTTTCACTTCTACCCCCTCCCCCTGCCCCCACCCCCACTATCCCCCCACAACCCCACCACCACTACCCCCAAAAAAAGTATTTTTAAAAATTATTTTCAATTTCATAAATTATTTTCTACTCTAGTAAAAATAAAAGATGTTCCTCAAAAACATTTTTCATTCATAAATTAAACACCAAAAATCATTTTCAGAAAATATTTCTGCACACCAACCAAACATGAGAAAATAAGTCCAAAATCTACTTGTTTTCCAAGAAAACATTTTCCATGGAAAACATTTTCCTTCATACCATATACACCCTAAGTGACAACAACCATGCCCGATAGAGTTAGTTGTGCCAATTTTTGGGACTTCCATCAAAGAAATCTCAATAAAATTAGTGGCCTAAAGTCAAATTATAATAAGAGGTCTTAAAGACATACATACATACACAAATTATTATTAATTTAGGATTATTATCTTTTTTTGATTCTTATGTACTACTTATTTTTAAAGTATATTCTTAAAAGACATTAAGCTTTTAACTTCACGTAGTAATATTATTATTTATAAAAGTTAGGATTAGTTCTAGTTAATTGTTAGGCATTTGTTCAATATACGTCACGTTGGATGTTGATGTAAAATATTTATCTATCAATATAAATCTTTGATTTGCTTAGTAAAAAGATATAAAACATTCCTGATAAAAATTCTTAGGTAACGACGAAAAGTCATATCTTTTGGAGCCTCAAAATTTTGAGGCCTAAAACAAATGGTTTACTAGATTTACCCTTAGGCTATCCATGCTTCCACTCACAACACTTTTAAAAAAATCAACTAAAATGCATACCCAAATACAACTTTAAAAACTCAAATGTTCAAGTTTAAACTTCAAAATCTATATCAAACAGGAATGATGTGAGCAAACAAGCAAAAGACTGAAAAATAAAGATAACCATATATATAAAATTACACTCGAAGGTGGATTGTGCTAATATCAAAGGTACAGAAATTCAAATATGGCGTCTGAATAAAGGCTTTGACTGTTCATGGAGGTTAGTTCAAAATATATGTCCTTATATCACGTCCTTAGTTTTTTTACTAAGTACACGTGGGATACTTGACAACTTGCTCACGTTTTGCGCGGGTTGTCACCATCTTGCAGCGTCAAGTTCAGCCTAAGACTCTAGGAATCACTAAGAGAATGGTAGAGAGAACACAAGAGGATTGCAACGAAGAAGTGTGTTGTAGAGAAGTTTATTGATTTTTGCTTGATTAATTTACAAACGAATGTCAATCTATTTATATTATTAATTTAGGAGCTAAACTGTAGACAATAATTATTACACAAGTCCCTACATATTTACAAATAAGTTCCCTCTCTAGAATACTCTGCACAACTAGAATATTCCAAGGCTCTTCCATGTAAGCCATGGAATTCCAAAGTCTCCCAAGGGGTATCTCCATATATCTTCAGAATCTTCCACTGTGAACTAACATTCTTCCTATGTAAGCCCTCCACATGGGCAACTCTGTTCCATATGGCGTAATGATGCGACAGGTCGTCATACTTTCTCCCACTTGATGTTGTGACGACCACGTCACTTTACTACTATGAAAACTCTTGTGTCCTATCTATGAATAGCCACAAGTCTTCATATCGTTTTCATGGAGCTTCTTGCGATGATTTTCCCTTCTAATGGACGTGGAACGCGACAATGGCTTTTTGTCTTTGTCACCCTCAAAACTTGTATGGTTTCCAAGAACATCAACCCTTTATTCTTGAGCCCCTTCACAAGTTGTATAGTCTAAAGTTGTGCTTGATTCTGTTTGTGGTATAACAATAGTTGGCACCATACAAGCTCATTCTCATCCCATGACCCATTGACAATAGCGATAGGGGTTAATCAAGGTATGACATTGTGTGGAGAACTCCTGCCTAAAATCATATCAAAGATATCCATCTTTATAATGGCAAAGTTTGTCGTACCTTTCCAGTAGCCCAATTTCGCACCAATACTAATGGCAACACCATGAGCACTTTGAGGATCAATATTCACGGTCTTGATGCGAGAATCAGTTGGGGTATGCTTAAACTTTAGTCTCTTTGTTGCATACTTGATCATGAAATTATGAGTTGTTCTAGTGTCAACCAATGCACGAGCAAGCTTATTGTTCACAAAGTCCACATTCACTAATTTCTATTCTCGTGAAGTGGCTAGTTGACTTTGTGATGACTCCACATAGTCCAATCAATCCTAATTGAGTTGTGGGACTAAACTCTCTACTTGCACACTCTCCATATGTTCATGCACCATAGCGCAGAGTCTTTAAGTCAGGATAATTATTTGAAGCAATGTGGGCCTCTGCATATGTAGCATCCCTTCCTTCGGAGTATGATTTCTTTTCTGTGTAGCTCTGACGACCAATTGACTTTTTATTATCAAACTTGTAGGTGCCCCGAGTCTTGTGGTGTTGTTGATACACTTCCTTGCTTTTATCACAATCTCCATCACCCTTAGCCCATCCTCTGACTTATTATTGCCTCTGCCTTTGTCATACTTCTCATTCCTGACTTGTCAGCATTGCAATTTTGCTTAGCCCAATTTCGCAACTCAACCATAAAGTGGAACAATATGTCATCATCAGTGCCCTTAGAAATCTTTGTCTTTGTCATACTTCTCGTTAAGTGTAAAGGTCGTGAACTCCTTGACGTAGTCCATATGTTTCATGTGTGTTTTAACTCTCTAAGTTTTCTTCTTGCATTGTACACAACATTGTTTGGTAAAAACTGTCACTTGAACTAATCTCGTGTGCTAATAGTCACAAACCTCTCTTAGCATCAATCATTTCACCATAGCATGACAATCTTTAACAAGTAGAACACTACAGTGTTGATCTTTGCATCGCCGTCCCTTACATTTTCATGTTGGGAGTAGTTCTCCAAGTGCCAAAGAAAATTCTCTACTTCTTCTACATCACAAACCTCTTTGAACACTAGTAGTGTGAAAGCCTCGCTCTTTGCCTCTCCCGTCACGACAATATTTCATGCGGTCTCAATCACGCCAGTGTTGACTTACTCTTCGACTGCCTCCATATTTGCCTTCATGGCATCGATAGTGCATATCGCCTCCATGAGTTTACACTCTAAGGTAGCCATGGTCTGCCTCGTCTCTATCTCAATAGTCTCTTATCTCAGTCTGTGTATGCCCATCCAAGTCATTTCAGATGCTTTCAATCTCTTCAAGGGT